AGACTGATCAAAAACAACATGCAGAACGAACACTGTGGATGAATTTGTCATGTCAGACGTGTAGCGTGAACTTTAAGAGATCTGGAGGTGATGGATGGATTGTGTGTGTTTTGTGAGGATCTGCTCACCTTCATGACACACAAAAGGAAAACGGCGGTTGTGATCGTTGCAAGAGATGTCAATCCATTGTCTCTGAGCCTTCTGTTCAACAGCTGTACAGTCTTCATTACCTCCAACATTATTAGGTTCACCAGACTTCCAGTATCTGAATGAGGAGTTACTCTGATCTGACCACTGCCATGAGTCTCTGACTCTGAACAGACCGATCCAGACTTGTGATCCAGATTTATTATTATCACTAATGATCTTCTTAACCTTCTCATTCTCATTCTGGTTTCTCACACTGACCAGATCAATGTGATTCTGTCTGCAGTAACTCTGAGCCTCTCTCCAGTTCATCCTCTGATTGATAAAGACGAGTCCTGTGTTTTCTTTCAGGATAAACAAAAGCAATGCTTAAGTATCTCTCAAACTCTTACACTGTAAATAAACCCTACAATGGCAATGTGTAGTTTTATTGTAGTTTTATAGACACATGCTCTGTAAATACAGATAAACGTCTAGGTCCCATTCGTTATGTTATGTGATACAAAAAGCAAAATGCTGTGATACAGTTTTGAAAAAAGAAACACAGAACAGAAAAGACCATTTTAAGTTTAAAAGTTAAAGAACATTTTCTCTGCACCTATTAATAACTCTGGTATTAGAAACTTAAGTGTCTTAAGTTGTCCAAATCTTAAGGCTTTTTCTTCTCCGTTATACAGAATAAGAAAGAACAGCTGTTATAGTGAACTCTGTGTAGGACATTGTCGTTATTCAAAATTCAGGTATATTATTCATTTTATATTGACACTGACATTTTTAAAATGTATTTCCGGATAGATATTATTGAGTTAACAGGCTGTGGTGGTTTTGAGGTAGTGAGGGATCGTCCCGGATGAGGTTGTCAGGTCATCATGTGGGTAATTTTATTTGCGGCTAAAGTATTATTCATTAATTTGTACTAATAGTTAGATAGGGCAGGCCTTTAAAGGGCCTTTAATTACAAAAAATAAAAAATAAAGAAATTTTGCCTCAACATCAAGGGGCAAAGTGGCAGGTGCTCAAGCACAAACTTTTATTCTGGATGCGATTAGCTTCTTTATAGCAGAAAGTCAAATTGTAAATCTAACTGATTTATACATTAGTTTTAGAGATATTTGTTTTCAAGATACAATATTATTAATCACATATACTGTAATAACCATAATAATAGGGTATAAACAGTATCTATATTTTTACATTAATAGGTCATATTCCATATTAGTATAATAATAGTGGTTACAAAACATGCAATAATAAAACTATGCATAAGGGTATATTGGTATTTCCATAATTATGTCAATAATAATGACAATGTTAATAATACTACTACCACCATCGTCTTTACCAGCTGTAATAATAGGCTAATTGTGTTGATAATGAAGCATAAATAATATTTACATTAATGCCCAAATGATTTCAAGCTAAAGATTTGTTAAAACTTGTAAGAAATGTTTTCAGTGGATTAAAAATAAATTAAGATATCAAGTATGATTAAACCTGTTACAGAAGGTATTTCCTCACTCAGATCTTTAGCGCTTTTAGTTTGTTTTCATTGTGCCGCTACATTGTTATGATTATGATTATTACTATGAGATCTTAAAGGGGTCATATGATGCGATTTCAAGTTTTCCTTTCTCTTTGGAGTGTTACAAGCTCTTGGTGCATAAAGAAGATCTGTAAAGTTGCAAAGACTAAAGTCTCAAATCCAAAGAGATATTCTTTATAAAAGTTAAGAGTCAACCACGCCTACCTAAAACGGCTCGTTCTAACACGCCCCCACATATCTACCTCACTATGTGGAAATATTACCATAACGCCGTCCAAATGTTCACGCAAAGAAAGAAGACGTAACTTTTATTCTCGCTGTAGTATTGTTGCCGCCGCCATGTCGTGAAGGCGCTGTGTGTTTCGTTGTGAAAGCGAAACTACTTTGTTTGGCCTTCCAAAAGAGGACGATATCCGCTTCGTCATACCTGGAGCTGATCTGTGCTGGTCGCTGAGGAAATACATCAACTTAGTGCTGTGGATCACCGGATATGCTTTCACCGTTTTCACCGCTCCTTCGTCGGATCCGCCGGGACCGCCGTTCTCGATCCCGCCACCTCAGCTCACTCTTGCCCGGC